CTATGTTTAACAACAAACTCACAAATATTCCTGAAATCTTCTTAAGTTGGCTCTTGAAACCCGCACTGACACAAGCCAGCTCGAGCACACCACTGACTGTGTGGAACAGCAAAGGAGGCCAGTGTTTCCTGGAACTCATTTTCAAAAGGGCTGTTCTGCTCATAGAGCAACTCAACATCAGAAGCGATATAGTTTTCATTTTTCAAATGAGTTAACTATCACTCAGAGAAATTAAGTGACTTCAAAGGGGCAAAAATCCCTCTTGCCTTCCAATGGCACCAAGTATATTCTTCCACTCAAAAAATGATTTCTAAGCACCTACTATGTCCCAGGTACCGTTCTAGGCACATTGGGTGCTGCTAGGCAACTCACACCAATGTGGTGTTTGCAGTGACCTGGGCAGGAACAACTCACTGGTGACCAGTCAGAGGCTCTTGTTAAAAACCTCTGTGTCACATTTAGGACCCCTGACTAGCAGCACATGCCCATGCACACACACACGTGCACATACACACACATGCACACACACATACCTACATGCACGCACGTGCACACAGCCACCACTGCCCATTCCCAGCTCACGTTGCCTCTTCTTTCCTAGATCAAGTCGAGCGTGAACAGAAAGAATGCCAAGTACCTGCTCAGAGGAGAGTCTGTCGGCAAGGTCTTCCGGGTCAACGAGGACACAGGAGACGTGTATGCCTTTGAGAGGCTGGACCGGGAGAAGACCTCCGAGTACCACCTCATTGCCCTCATCGTGGACAAGGACACCAACAGAGACCTGGAGTCTCCTTCCAGTTTCACCATCAAAGTTCACGACGTGAATGACAACTGGCCTGTGTTCACGCACCGGTTGTTAAATGCATCTGTGCCCGAGATGTCGGCTGTGGGTAAGTGCCCAGTCTGTCCCTCTCCATCTTCTCTCCCTCATCCCCATCCTGGAGGCACCTCTCACATCAACCACTTCACCACCCGGGGTCAGAGTTCAGTGAGTTCAGGGCAGCGGTTATAATAACTGTGTTGCCACTTTATATGACTTGAAACCCTGATCCCTAAAGACTAAGCTCTGACCTGGCCCCAGACTGAGCTCTGACCCTAGTCATGGACTGAGCCCTGATCCTGATCATGAACTGAGCTCATACGTAGTAATGGACTAACTCCTGGACATCAGAGACACACATATCTCACTACTCTTTAGAGCAAATCCCACCCACTGCCTCTGACCCACAGGATTGGCACACCAAGAGTGTAGCCTTTGTACATGAAGAATACCAAGCCCTGCCACTAATGCAAGAAGAGTCATCTCTAGAGGCCGTGTAGTAGAGGGGTGGAGGGCAGAACCCTGGCCATAAGACGTGTCGCCAGCCTGGACCCCAGGCTCAGGAGGTTATTATTCCTTCTTCAGTCCTCCCCTATTCTCCAGACGGTACCAGAAAAGGCTTCCCTCTCCACCCCCTCAGTCTAGGGTCCCTAGCCAGGGCCATGAGACTAGAACTTCCTGTTAAATGTGGACCCCTAGCCGGGGTTCAAGGTGGTGATGAGAGATGTGACACCACTCCTTTGGGGGAACGTTCCCATTTCCTTGTCCTCACCCTTCCAGGAGAAGGAGAAAAGCCCTTAGTCTCCTCGGTTTCTCCTCCTGACTCCAACCCTCTGCCAGCTCCCTAATTTCCCTCCTAAATGCACAAACCACCTATTTTTTCCTTCTTTCAAGGGTGGCCTGGCTGGGCCCCCACCACTGCCAGTACTTTTTCCCCATGCCAGTTCCTCAGGAAACAAAGCAGCCTTTTCTCCCTGAAGACCTGGGAAGGTCGGGACAGGGAATAACCTGAGTCCCATCTGCCCTCATGCAGGGATGAAGGGAGGGGCCAGCAGTCTCAGGGCAGCAACCTCAGGATTCTCTCTCTGCAGGGACCTCGGTCATCCGTGTGACAGCAGTGGATGCAGATGACCCCACTGTGGCAGATCACACCTCTGTCATGTACCAAGTCCTGAAGGGAGAAAAGTATTTTTCCATCGATAATTCCGGTCTGTGTGACTAACCATCCTGGGCAGGCACTGACTTGGGGGATGGGGGATGAGGGCTGTGAATATTCCAGGTGCAGATGCTGTGAGGAATCCAGTCTGACAGGTGTCACCAACCATTGAACCACCCTGTCCCATGGAGGTGGTCAGTATCACAAGCAAGGACAAGGTGGCTGGTCAGGGAAGAAGAAAGCAGACAGGTGCCCAAGACATGGATTTAAGTCCAGGGAACAAAAGCAGCACCTTGTTACCCAAGCAGTGACCGAGGGGCAACAGAGAATGCTGGTTAGCAGCTCTGGGTACAGGTTCAGACAGATCTGGTTTCCAAACCCCAGCTCTGCTACCAAACCCCTTTAGAGACCTTGGATAAGTCAACTAACCTCTGTGAGCCTTAGTTCCCTTATCTAGAAAATAGGGATGCCTATATTGGTTTTGTATGGTAGCTGTGAAGCTTGAATTTGATAATGTATAGAGTGAGCATAGCCACAGAGATTTTGCCACTTAAAAAACTGTAAGGACTGAGTCTGGGAACTAGATGGTCAGGCCTGGGGCTCACTGTCTCCCAGAGGGATGTCAGGCGCATAGCACAGACAACACTGCTCTCCTGCGGTGC